GCCGGGCGCGCGGCCTTCCTGCACCAGCACCTGGGCCGCAGGGAGATGACGGACGTGATCATCGAGACCCTCCAGCCCCGCACAGGTACCGGCCCCGAACGTGGAGAGGGGCCCCCGGGGGGCCTGGTGGGGAAACCTGCCCCGGAGGTTGGGGTGGTAAAACTGCTGCTGGGGTTGTGGGCTTTTAGTCCGCCCTCGCCTTGGGAAACGAGCGGGGAAGTTTGGGAATGCTGTGGGATCGCACTGATGTTGCTTGCTAATTAAAGCGTTAATTTATTTGGGCTGCACTGCCTGGCCCGAAGGAGCTGAATGTTCCAGCTCTGCTGTGTTCCCCGGTAGGGGGGAAGCTAGGGAGAGCAGTGCCAAATCCTCTCAAAGTGGCCCCAAAGCGGAGTCTGTGTCCGTGTGCCCTGGGACCCAGCCTGGCCCAGGGCAGAGCTGCCTCAGGGGATTTTGGGGCGCTGGGGATTTTGGGGCACTTCTGGCTGCGATCAGCTAAGGCTAGGGGTATTTTGCTCCTGCTAGGAGGTATTTTGGCTACTAGGGGGTCATTTTTGGCTACTAGGGGTAGTTTGGCTTCTTGGAGGGCTGTTGTGTACACACAAGCTGGATTTAGAGAACTGCAGCTGGTCCTGATGTGTGGTTAGTAACCTGAAAGCTTTTGATTTGTAAAAGATGCAACGAAAACCGCCGTGGAAGAGAGAAAATCATCAGAGGCTGCATCTGCCGAGGACAAGAGCAAACAGGACAATCAAAGTAAAGAGCGTGAGGCTGCTCCAGACTCGCCTTCCAAACAGCTCCCCGACCAGATCTCCTTCTTCAGCGGAAATCCGTCGGTCGAAATAGTTCACGGCATTATGCACCTGTACAAAACAAAGTAAGAACGCTCGGCTAATTGTAGCCCTGGTGGGAATGGTGCTCCTGACTCATGCCAGCATCCAGAAGGGCGAGCTGGTCACCCGAGGGCTCGGGCTCCTGAGCCGGCTGAGCAGGGACAGGCGGACGGGTGACAATCCCGCCTGCGGTGTCAGGCGCTGCCTTGTGTGACCGGTAGAGCTTTTGGCTGGCTCAGGTCTCCCGGCTCGTCCCGAGGGTTGGTCACAGGAGCATCCAACAGATGCTCATTCCTGAAAGAGGATGTCTGAAAGCAGCTTCAGGAGATGTCCCGTGGTTAAAATGTAGCCTCTTGGGTCTTGGCTGACGCCCTCACAAGGTCTCCAAAGCTGGAGATTTCGTCCCTTATTTCAGGCATGACAATTCCATGTCATTCCTGTATAGCTGCATGAGAACTTCCATCTCAGGTCTTCTTGAAAGCTCTCAGGAAACACAAAATGGGTATGTGAAATAGGAACAAGCGTTGCTTGCTCATTCTAGGAATATCTATGAGCATCTGTGGCTTGCCAGCTACAACTGTTTCTATAGAAAAACAGACATCAAATTATTCCTGACAATAGCAGTGGTTTCTGTTTTGTTTTGAGCTGCCCATTTTAATCCTTTGCTAAAGAGGAATAGTTCGATGTGGGTATTTTAGACAGTTACACAACCCCTTGCTTCTCCTTCTTAATAGTTAAAAAAATACAAAAGAGGACTGAGGTTAGTACCACAATTATTCTAAGAACTGCAGTTATTGCACCTGCTTGTGCCTTTGTTCTCCTTGTGAAATGCCGTGACATTGTCTAACTGTTGTCTTACCAGCAAGATGACCTCCCTGAAGGAGGATGTCAGGCGCAGTGCCATGCTGTGCATCCTCACCGTCCCTGCTACCATGACCAGCCACGACCTCATGAAGTTTGTGGCCTCCTTCTACGAAGTAATCGAGCACATGAAAATCATCAGAGATTCTACTCCAAACCAGTACATGGTGCTGATAAAATTTAGCTCACAGGTAACAGCCAGAGATCCCCTTCTCATGAAGGGGGTGCCGTGGTGTCATACCCCACTGTTTAGGGGAGCTCTTTGGCTTTGCTGGCCTCCTGCTAGCTGAGATTGCACTTTATCTGTTTTCAAACAGTCCTGTCCTGTGCCTAGCTCTTTTCTGGGCTGCTGACTAGGATTAGACCCACACTTTGAACTGGCAACAAGTGTGGGTTGTGTTCTGCCTATCCCCTTCTTTTTTCTGGCAGATATCAAAAAATATATATATTAAGGATATGTAGACCAAACTGTTGTCAAACCCGCTGCTACCTCAGAGGTCAGTGAGCTCCTTGGATTTAATACTCTGTACAGGATGTTTTTCCTGCTCTCAAAAAAGGAGCATGAAGAAGTCTCCATGTGCTCACAGGGAAAGTGGTGCATTGTGCTGTGCTGACCAGAAGTAATCCTGCCAGTGGGGCTTGGGCTTTGTTTCCTTCTAGAAAAGCCTTGGCCAGTCTTCCTGAGGAGCTGGGTGGCCTCCGAGGCAGTGCCCGTGTAGTGTGAAAGGGCAGTGTCCCCCCAGAAGACTGCAAGGGACGAACTGCTAACGAGGCACCACGCGGCTGCTCCCAGCTCCTCCTAACCCCCTGTAGAAATTCCCTCTGCCACTTCTCACATGGACCTTCTCATCTTTGCCATCTTTTTCTCTCAGCTGCAAACAAAATATCCTGGGGTTGTGGAGAAGGTTTGGTCAGCACTTCCCTCAACCATGAATGCGACATGAGTTATTTCCCAGGTCTTTTGCAGGTAGCAAAAACCTGTCCTAGCTGGGATAACTAGGAATGTGGGAACCTGGTGTTTGGCTCCCTTGCCTCTTGTGGCATCTCTTGCCAGAGAGGTTTGGTGAGGTCACCCAGTGAATATGGATGAGGTGTTTGACAGGTTTTGTTTTGATTCTGCCTCTTTGCAAGAGGCAGACTCGGGGATGGTTCAGATGCCTGAATTGCTCCCAGTGAAATGGATCCCTTCCCGTGGGTAAATTGTTGTTACTTTCTCTGACGCAAGTCTGTGTGCCCTGGAACACAGCCCTCGTCCCATGTTTTTTTATTTTTATTTTTATTTTTTTTGCAAATACACCAAATTTGCTTTGCAAATGCATTGAAATTGCTGACGAGGGGCAACACTGATACTGAAGAGAAGCCTGTTACTGCTGCTGAGTGCTCAGATATCAGAGTAGCCGTTGCTGCTGTGAACTTCATTTCTTGACCTCGAGTGGTAGAAAATGGCACTAAAGCAGCGAGGAGATGCAGTGTGTGCTGGCAGGAGCTGACTCGGGCATCTCCTCTGATACCATGGGACTTGGTGGAGCGGGAATGGGAGGATACCGCGGATTTCTCCTGCTCTCATTTGGCAGTATCAGCTGCAGGGTTTTCTCTCTCTAACCACCTCCCCCTCGTTTGTGTCTAGGCTGATGCAGACAGCTTTTATATGGCCTGCAATGGGCGGCAGTTCAACTCCATAGAGGAAGATGTTTGCCAGCTGGTGTATGTGGAAAGGGCTGAAGTCTTCAAATCAGAAGATGTAAGTGTGTGTGTTGGAGGAGTTCTTTTCTTTTGGTTTGTGCTGGGGTTTTGTTTATTTTCTTGTTTTCGGTGTGTGTGTTTTTTGCTTTTCCCCTGGACTTGAGAGAATTTTAACAGGATTATTTTGTACTGGGCGGTGCACTGTTAAAAACTGCTTCACCTGAATACAAAGCTCACTTCCTATTTGTTCCTACGTGAGAGAGTTTGTTGGGCCACTTGATGGGCTTCCTGGCTCACCGCTGTGGTGCCTCTGAGCCTGCCCTGTGCAGGGGGTGTGCTGAATCAGGCTGGTTGCAGATGCAGTGGCTGCACTGAGCCTGTGGTGCAGTGAGGAGGATGTGGTCTATTCAGTCATAGATCACTTTCCTTTTGCATCTGGGGAATTTCTAACCACTGCAGACTTGCAGGGATGCCTATGAGTGTTTTTGCACCTCAGTGCCAGGAGTAATGAGAGAGAAATTTAAGATTCATTATAACGTGGGTGCTTAAGTTCTGGTGATTGGAGGATGCTGAGCAATTTGTCTCCCCCTTTTTCTTCTGAAGGGAGCCAGCCTGCCTGTGATGGATCTGACGGAGCTCCCGAAGTGCACGGTGTGCCTGGAGAGGATGGACGAGTCTGTGAACGGGATCCTCACCACGCTGTGTAACCACAGCTTTCACAGCCAGTGTCTGCAGCGCTGGGAGGACACCACGTAAGAGGCTGCTCCTCGTTTCCCAACATAAAGCCCTGCTTTGAGTGTGGTGGTTACATGCTGACCGGACTGGCTCTGCCCATCTGAGCATGGGGGCCGGAGCTGCTGCCAGCTCCCTCTGGCAGTAGCTCTTCCCTCTACTGCTTTTTCCTTCTCTTGCTGTAACTGGCTCATTCCCTTAGTTGGATGGTCAATGTGTCCACGTCTCCTGCAGCAGCACTCGGTGCTAATCACTGTCCCTGTCACTTGTGTTTCACATTCCTATGGATGCTGTTTGCTGCTTTGCTGCACATCAGGCAGTCACGGATACTGCAGCAGAAGGTGGCTGCACTGGAGCCCATCTCCTCCGTTCTCTTCTTTGCTGCCAGTGGCTGACTGACCAGCTGATAGACCAGGAGGGGAGGTTTAAACCCCTCTTTGCCTATCACTTGTTAGCCACAGGAACAGAACTTCAGTGGGATTTATAGCATTTTTAGCTATTCTAGTTTATTGGCTACTTTGTCCCATAAATCAAAACCAGCTTTAATTCGGAGCAGTGGAACTTAGCCAGTGTAGGAGCAAGATGAAAGTAGCACTTAATATAAACCTTGAGAAGAACTTAAGCTCCCAGTCTAGGAGAATAGCAGAATAAGACTCCTGCCTTCTTTGCTTAGGCATCACAGCACCTGAATTTGTCTAGGGAGCTTATTGCAATGCAAATGTCCACTCCCATGATTACTTCTATGGCTCATCCAGCAGCTAATGAAAAATACATGAGCAGTCCTGGCAACGAGCCCAGATCCAGGGTTGCCTCCCTCGCTAGCTGAGTCCGCTAGTGGTTCTGATCTGGACAAAGGTTCCTTCTGGTCCTAGATCTTCTGTGTTTCTGACAGCACAGTGGAATAGTGTCATCAGAAATGATTCTTCTGGGGTTTGGTTGTGGATCACTTTTCCTGGAAGTGCTGAAGCTGAATCCCTGGGGTAGGAATGAAGTTGAAGCTAGAGCCCTCATTTCCTGAGGGGTGTTTTGAGGACCAGGCTGTCTTTGCAAAGTGCAGGAACCTCCCTGTCTTACTGGGCAGTCTCCGCAGTGTGTGCAACACCTTTCTGCAGCAACGTGTAGATGCTCCACGAAGTCCTGCAGATGATGTAGATAGTGGAGAATGTCTAAGAAATAAAGTGGTGACGAGAGGCCTTCATCTCATCTGATGAGAAGGCTACAGAACCCTTCACTCTGTGCCTGCCTCCTGCTTCAACAGAGCACCGAGGCTCCTGCTGCCCTCCCAGCCGTCCTCCTCGGAGCCCAGGGTGCCTGTGCTCATCAGAGCCCTCAGTGAAGAGGTCCCCAGCAGCCCCGCTGCTGCTCCTGGTTTGCAGCTGTTCTCCTCACCTGGACTGCAGCAAAACCAGGCCAAACCGAGCCCACGGAGTAGTTTCAGAAGCACCCATGCTTGTTCTGTCATTTCCCAGCTTAAAAACAAGGAACACTGTAAAAACAAGGTGTAGAATGGAGACAGAATCGAGCTGGGAAAATGAGAGCTGAAAGGTGTGTGTGTAGGGAGTGCCCCACTCCATAAAGCATTCCCTATGAGATCTCTGCCTCTATTTTTAATTACCATGATACTAAGACAGAGCTCCTTATATCTAATGATGATGCTTATTGCCCTCTAGGTGTCCTGTCTGCAGATACTGCCAAACACCTGAGCCAGTGGAAGAGAACAAGTGTTTTGAGTGTGGAGTTCAAGAAGTAAGTAGGTGGGTGGATGGTGAGATCTAGGCTAGATTTGTCTGTGCTGCTGCTCCAGTTGTTCTTGGGGTTAATTCTGTGGCTGCTCTTGGACTGATTTTACCAGTCAGTGATGTAGCTGCTTTCCCTTTGAGTTGGTCACTCCTGGGGAGGGATGTTACCACCCAGGTTTTCCTGCTCTGGCAAATGTTTCCAATTCCTAGGGACACAGTAGAGTATAAGCTCGTCAGAGCTTGTGTGATCATGGGGGGCTAAACTAACAATGAACAGTTTTAGTCCGTGCTCTTCCAAGCTTGCTTCCATGGTCCTGCTGTGCTGCCTTGTTCATTAATCAAGACCATTCTCCCATTCATACTTGTGCTGGTATCAAAGTGCCTGGCACCTGCAGGCTTATAATTGGCATGAATGAGCAGGTAGTGCTTCTCCATAGCCTTTAATCTCAGTGGGGCCTCAAAGAGGAGAAAAAGCAAACGCTGTTCCCTTCCCAAGCAAGTGCCTGGGAACACCCAGCATGAGCAGCGCATCCGTGTCCTCGATCCCGCTCCCTCTAAGCCCTGGACCCGCTGCTCGTACGCACAGGGCTTCTTCCTTCTGTTGGCAGAACCTGTGGATCTGTTTGATCTGTGGGCACATCGGCTGGGGCCGCCACCGCGTACAAGCACTTCGAGGAGACGCAGCACACCTACGCCATGCAGCTCACCAACCACCGCGTGTGGGACTATGCCGGAGGTGAGCGGCCTCCTGCCCCTCCTGGGGGACAGCCCTCTTGGTAAAACAGCTTTTGCAACCTCCAGCTCCTTGCACTAGAGCTTTCTTGGACATCAAGGGGTTTGCGTCCGTGCTAACATCTTGTCTTTTGGGAATATCCTCTCTAATAGCAGCTTCTGTGGGACTGAACCAGGTGGGAGAGGGAGGATGTGATTCCGTAATTAGCCCGGGCAGTCCTGGAGCCTCTGCAGAATGCATTTGTTACTCCCTTGCCATCAATTTGCCCTGAGGTTTGAAAACTGGCTGTTGTAATAAATATTCTGGGAGGTGTCTGTGTGAAGTCTGCTAAACAACAGATACATCTGCTGTTGGCTTCCTGCTGCACTAATGTGCTGTTGCAGCAGTCTGCGTGGCTAGTTGTGCTGCATAAAGTATTTCCATTGGTGCCAGCCTGGGTGTTCCTAGACTTAAACTCCCTTTGGATGAATCTTCTCTTTTCAGATAACTATGTCCATCGACTGGTTGCAAGTAAAACTGATGGGAAGATAGTTCAGTATGAGTGTGAGGGAGATATGTGTCAGGAAGAGAAAATCGATGCCTTGCAATTAGAGGTAAATATTTTGGCTCATTGGACTCCGTGCTGTTGTGTCAAATGAAATGCTTCAAATCCAGATATGCCTATAGGAAAATGACATCAGCTTGTGCAGCAGAGCTGCCTCCTGCGTGCTGGCAATCCTCCTCGTGCACGAGCAGGGTGTTTTTACTGTTTCGTTTTGTTTTTCTCCTCTCTCCCTCCCCGCGAGCCTCTTCTTGGCTCTGCAGAGCCAATGCAGCTAGGGCTGAGCTGCTGCAGTCCCGGCGAGCGCGCCGGCACGTTCAGGATTAGCCGGTTGCGCTGCTGCAAGCAGAGGTCAGTGGAGCCCAACGCACTTGCCAGAGTCTTCCTCACATTGGTGCATCTTTGACCTGGCTTAAGAGCCCAGGACATGCAGGGAAGGGCCGACATGAGCAGCTCTGCGTGTGAACAGAGCAGATGTGCAGCAGCACGAGCGCGTCCTGGCTCCTAGAGAAGCCAACAGGTTCCTCTGGCAGCAGCCTCATTCTGCTCCCTTCCCCTGAGCAGATTTGTGGGCTCTTTTTGTTCAGTACCTGTTCCCTCCAGCTTCTCCCTCACAAACTTCGAGTGTGGAAGCCTCAGAAACGATGATCCAAGTGCTGTGTTTTTCCCCTTGCCCATGATCTATCTTTAAGGAAGGAGAAACTCAAGTTACTGCTCTGCTGGGGGATATACTACAGCGTGGTTCCAGCCACATCACACACAAACGAACCTGAGGAGGAGCAATGCAGAGAGCAGCCTCTGTAAATGGGCTGCTCAGAAAAGGACTTGATTTCCATGAATTTTTTGAGTTATACTTAGAGGCTAACTCAGCTAATTTTAACTCTTACTTTAAGCAACAGGTAGCTAAAAATATGTAAAATACCTCTCTATCTAGCTTATAAAATCTAAATGTTTGCAGAGAGTGGACTTTGCAGTCTATTTTTTCTGGTCTCTGATATTACCCGGAGAGTTTGTGGCTTTTAATGCTCCTGTTTAATTCTAAAGTGAAGGCCTCATTTGGTGCTGCTTAGCCTGATGTTAAGAAATGGTCTCATTTTCCAGTGTCCTCATAGTTCAACTGCAGAACCACAAGGGAGAGGATGGGATGTAAGGCACTACATCCTTGTTCCAGGGCCAAAGTAACACTGGAGAGCGATACTTGAGAATACAAGTATGTGTATATTCATATATATTTATATATAATATTATAAATATTATGTTTATATATATATTTATATATATACACACACACTTGTATTCTCAAACTGAAGATGCTTTTCCAAAGACACTCTTCCATCAAGCCAGAGATGTATTTTTTTTTTTTTTTTTTACCCTTCTTCTCTGGGCTTTGGGCTCTAGCTTGCCTGTATGTTCAGAACACCCTTTATGCTCAATTTTGATTAAATTGATCATTTTGTTTTGAAAAAGCTGACTGCTCTGTGTATTGTGTCATCGTAGTACTCATATCTGCTAACAAGCCAGCTGGAATCGCAGCGGATCTACTGGGAAAACAAGATCGTCCGGATAGAAAAGGATACGGCCGAAGAGGTGAGCTCTGCTCTGGGCTCTTCAGGGGCTGGAGCCGTTCAGTCCCTCCTAGAGCCCGAATTTTGCACGGTGTGACCTGGCAGAGGCTGTTTCACTACCAGCTGAGGGAATTGGCTCCGCGGCGCATCCCTTATCTCGGCACTCAGACCCGCGGGTTGCCGCTCGGATGGGCGTGCAGAGTGAGGGCTGATTTC